CGGCGGACGGCCGCGCCCGCGTGACGATCGGCTGCCGGTACGAGACCAGGCTTCGTACTCGCCACGCAGTCCGGAACGTCGGCGAGAAGGATGGCGCGAGACTCCCAACATTCCTTCATGGGGCCGAGCTACCAAACGAGGTAGCGCCGGAGCGGAAGGGATGGCAGCGTCATGGCGATCAGCGCCGCGACTCCGTATGAGCAAGGTTGGGCGCAGCACGAAGGTCCTCGTGTTCCAAGATACGGTCAGCGATATGACGAAGATTACCCGCGCTATCGACAAGAGGAGCGGGACCGTCACGCTGAAAGGGTGGACCGCGGAATGCGGGAAGACGCTGCGACCGCGCAGCGTCTGGATCGGTTGCTTCAGCGTGTGGAGTATCTGGATCGGGAGAATCAAGAGCTGCGCCATCGCGTGCGACGTCAGGACGAGCCTCGGGATGATCGCCGAAGTCCGGACGCGGGAAACCATCCGCGTCGCTGGGGATAGACGAAGAGTGATAGCAGCGGAGGCGACCAACGTAGAAGGTACGGTGGAGGCGTAGTGCTGTAGGTAGTCGAAGTGTATAGGCGTCACCTAATACCTTCAATATCTTGAACAGTCCGATATATCGCGGCGCCAGCTTGTTGGCGCCCAAATTCGTCACAGAAGTGGGTGTAATGCCGTCGGTGGATAGCAAAACACGATCGCCCACTGCGAACGTCGCGAGATTCTTGCGACCACGCTTGTCTGCGCTCTCCTTCTGGCGATCCACCGCCATAGCGATGGCGTCGCGCACATAGCGGATTACCGACTCGCGTCGTTGGACGAATGCAAGGGCGGCCGCGGCATCACGCGGTAGCGATTCAGGGTTCGGATCAAAGTTTGCGGGTGGAGGCTCGGGTGAAGCGACCGAGCCTGTCGCGGCATGGTACTCAACTGCGCGGCGATGCTGACGCGGGTTAATCAGCGTCCTGGACGTTTAAGTGGTCAGTGAAGATGGTGTTGCCTTCGTGGCAGCACGCGTGCGCACACTTGGCCCAGCAGATGCGACTCCACGCCGGGTGGTGACAGCATTCAAAATCGCTGAGGTGACGTCGTGAGCTTGCTCACGACTATCGTCAGCGGGAGGCGCTGATGGGGCAACATCGGAGGCGTCTGTCTCGTTTGGTGGGGGTACTGGCGCGGGCGTGACCGCGTCCGATTCGACTGGGGACCGACGATCCATGCCAAGGAGGGCAGGGACGCGGGGATGGCGTCCGTAGTTCACGTAGAATGGAGTGAGCCCCGTCGATGCATGAACCGCATTGTTGATCGCGAACTCGACCATGGGAAGGAACGAGCTCCAGGACGTGTATGACGTGGCGAAGCTCCGCAACACGTCCTCAACGACCCTGTTCGCACGCTCCGTCTGGCCGTCCGTTTCCGGATGCGACGCGGTGGACATCTTCAACCGCGTCCCGACAAGCCGGAAGATCTCTGACCAAAAAGCTGAGGTGAAGCGGGGATCGCGATCGGGAACGATCGATGTTGGCAAGCCGTAATGGCGATAAACAAGATCCAGAAACGTCGCCGCAGACTGCTTGGCGGTGACCGTAGCGGCGCCTGGAGCAAGATGGACCATCTTGCTGAATCGATCGACGAAGACGAGTATGCCAGTGCGACCTTGGGCGTCGCGGGGAAGGCCGAAAACGAAATCCATGCTGACGGAGGACCACGGCTCCGAGGCCACCTGGAGGGGTCGAAGCGGGTGCTTGCTTCGACGGGGGAAGGCTTCACGCGCTGGCACGCTTTGCATGAGCGAACCCACTTTACGCACCCACTTGTACATGTGCGGCCAGTAGTAATCGCGAGAGAGGGACGCGAAGGGCTTTTCGCGTCCAAGATGGCCACCACTGGGAGAATCGTGAAACTCGAGAATCAATCCGGCGCGAAGATCGTCGTCCAGCGAGACGACGATGCGTGGTGTGTCTTCGTTGTTCACACTGTAAGTCAGCAAACCTTCGGGTTAAGCCGAAAGCGGCTCAATCGGGAATCGAGCCCGCGGGGACAGTCGGCGCCGCGCTGGCTCCGACAGATCATGTAAGGTACGAGGATCAGCTCTGAGGCACGCCGCATTCCGACGCGTACGCGGCCGAAGATCGCGTCGCGCAACGGAACTGGTCGGCTGCGACTTCCATCGCAGTGACATCTTCAAGCAGAACACACGGCGCACTTCGTCGTCGTCTTCGTCCCCAAATCGCGTGGCGGGCCAAAGTTGAGCGTAATCTTGCCGACGCGAGAGAGCATCGGCAAGAAATGTTCGTCTTTGCCTGGCTTGTAGTGAACAACAAAGTTGTATTCGGAGAAAAAGGAGAACCAGCGCGCCATGCGCTGGGACAGATGCGGACTCTTCGTTGCGGTTCGCAACGACGCGTGGTCGGTGTACACGACGAAGGTCTGTTCGCCCAAGAGGTAAACTCGGAGCTTGAGCAGCGCATAGTGCATGGCCAGTAGCCCCTTGTCGTGTACGGGGTAATTCCGTTTCGCTGGTTTCAGCTGGCGCGACTGGTAGCTTACCACTCGTTCGCACCCTGCTGCGTCGAATTGCATCAAGGCGCAACCAATGGCAAAGTCGCTGGCGTCGCATACCACGTGAAATGGCTCGGAGTGGTCAGGCAGCATCAGGAGGGGCGCAAGCTCGTTTTTACCGCGTCAAAACAAGCTTGATGTTCTGGACGCCATGTCTAAGTGGCGTCGGTCTTGAGTAGTTGCGACAGTGGACGAACTGTCGCCGCGAAGTTCTTCGAGTAGTGATGGAGATACGTCGCGAGGCCGAGCTACTGTCGGAGCTGTTTCGCGTCTTGAGGAGATGGCCAGGTGCAGATGGCTGCCACTTTCTCGGGGTCAGCACGGACACCGTCCTTGCTGACGTAGCTCCCGAGGACTGGAATCTCGGGGGCGCAGAAGATGCATTTCTTCAGATTGGCGTAGAGCTTGTTTTCACGCATCACTCCGAACACCGTTCGTAGGTGTTGGAGATGAACTTCGATGTCATTCATGCCGGCGTCGGCATGACTATGAATGAAGATGTCGTCAAAGTTACTGGGCGCGAAGTCGCGATATGGACGCAGCAAGCTCGACACCATGCGGTTAAAGGTGGCGGGGGCGTTCTTGAGCCCCTGCGGCATGACTAGCCATTTCCACAGCATTCCACTGGGCGTGCTGACGGCGGTCAGCGACACGTCGTCTTCGCGCATCAAGATCTGATAGAAGCCGTCCATCAGATCAATCGCGCTATACGTGGTGCTGCCCGACATGGAGTCAAGAATCATGTCCTTTCGTGGGATCGGCGTTTGTGCCGGGATGGTGGCGTCGTTAAGCTTGTTGAAGGCGTGAACGATCCTCCATCCCCCGGTCGCTTTCTTCACACAGAACGTAGGACTGGAGTGGGGTGACAAGCTCTCGCGAGCGTGGCCGGCTTGCCGGCGACTTTCGAAAAAGGCATCGATCGCCTCGACTTGGTCGCGGGGAAGCGGCCACTGTCTGGTGACACAGTACTTTACGCCAGGCACGAGATTGATCTCGTGTCGGACTCCGCGATCCGACGGAAGGGCCGCCGGAATCTTGTCGGGGAAGATGTCGATGAATTCACGGACGAGAGGGGCCACAGGGCTACCGGAAGCTTCGAGGGCCGGTAACGATTGTGCAGCGTAGTGCGCTTCACGGACTGTTTTCGGTTCGGCGCCCGTGGGGCGCGTCTGGGAGTCCGGCGCTGAGACATCGGTGTCGACGTGGACAGTCGCGATGGACGCGGCGTCGCTAGCTACGAGCGAGCATACTTGTTCGACGTCGCCGTGCTTTAAGCCGGGGAGGAAATGTTATCAAGAGAGACCGGGGAGCTTTGTGATTGCCGCGGCATCGCACGGTGGCGGTGCGACCTCAACCTCACGGCGACGCGGAAGATCGTTCGAGGCGTGGCCAGCAAGGACTGTGATAGTCTCGAGCTCGCTCAGGAC